GTCGTGACCCGGAGGTAGAGCCGCTGTCTTAGACGATTCCACACGAGAGTATCTTCTCTAGCTTCCTAAATTACTTGCATAGTATTCACCTCTCTTCTTTCTCTCTCTCTTCCACTCTCTCTCGCTATCTCTCGTTCGTTCGTTCTCTATCTCTTTCTCTCTCTCTCTCTCTCTCTCTCTCTCTCTCTCTCTCTCTCTCTCTCTCTCTCTCTCTCTCTCTCTCTTTCTTGTTTTGCTCTGTGGATTCAAGAAAAAAGGACTTTCTGGTTAAACTGGTTAGTTTTTCAATGTGTATCGTGTTAGTGTAGGAGACTTCCCCTTCTCTTTAGCGCATCAGAAATATTAGGCCAAATACAAAGTGTTATAGAGCATTTCATAGGTTATGCGTTTGACAAAACTTCTCAGAATTTCTATTGGTATACCCTCTATGCTGTGGCGACTGGGGAATCTAAATCGAGATTTTAAATCTACATTTACGTGGATTCGAGCTCAGGACCTTCAGACTAAAAGGCATCACTAGCCATTGCGCTACTGCGGTTCCCACCACATCTAGCGACGTTAACTTTCATTGTCTGGTAATTTCTTCACTACCAAACAACTCACTCCAAACATTTCTCGGATACTCCAACGATAATATAATGTTCATGATGTCTTCTGTTACAGGCATATGTTATGTTAACCCACTGTATCCACTTTTTAGTTTACTCCTGTCCCAAAATTTCTGCTGAACTCTTCTAAAATCAGTTTCTTATTGCTTTAACCTTAGCTGCTTGAGATATCAAGAGTAAATGTATTTCTCATGCCCTCCAAGACTGTCCCAAATGCAACATATCAAGGCAAAACTTTTGGCCAAGAGAAATACTGGTGCAAGTCAAATTTTACGTGTCGCTAAGTGAATTACAAAAGACAATAAAGTTTATACTAGAGACAGCATTGCCAAAATAGTTGATACATTTCAAGCGATAGAAGAAGAAGAAGAAAAAGAAGAAGAAGAAGAAGAAAAAGAAGAAGAAGAAGAAGAAGAAGAAGAAGAAGAAGAAGAAGAAGAAGAAGAAGAAGAAGAAGAAGAAGAAGAAGAAGAAGAAGAAGAAGCAGAAGAAGAATTCTCTGTGGATTTAGTTCTCCCCGTAAATGTGGCCCCTTGTTACTCATGTATAATTAGTTACAAGAAACTCATGATTATGTGATAATGTTTAATGCTTTATTATGCGCAGACCCAGATTAATGAATGTTTGTTGTTAATTAGCATCGTTTTAATCCTTTTATTTTTCATATTTCAAATCGATTCACAGTACTGAGTTAACCCTAATTGAAATATTCTAGACTTGCAGCTGTATTTTTATTATATTGTCTGCGGCAAGTGTAAGAGTTCTTTGCCAGCTCAACAAGTCTTTGCTATTCGTCCAATATTAGTTTAACCACTCCCCGTCTTTGCCTGTGTTAGTAGGTATATGATTGTATGCTTTCACCACTTGTGTTTGGTTTAGAGTAAAGAGACTAGGTTATAATTTGCATCAGTAAAATTCAAATATTATACATTTCGTCATCATGAAATGGTAAATGTTTTAAAAGTGACCGGTCCGAGGAGAATGACGCTGCGTGGAGTTAGTTACCGGGTGATCTGGCCGATGCTCAACACTCAAGGGAAAAGCGAGACCGATGTACAATCGGTCAGTTACTGGTACTTGGAACTTTCGGATTGCTGCTGAAGATGGTGAAGGAACGGTTATGGAAGAGTCCTAAATGCTATTATGTCAAATCCTAATTTAACATTCAATATTCAATGTCAATCCTGCCAAGCGTGTTTCATAAATTTTGCAATCCATTTTGTGATTAGGTCATAACGACACTAGCGACAGTAAAGTCTATGTCATCTTTGCGATCTGATAATTCTTCTTCTGCGTTTGCGTTTTAAAGAGCGATTGGCACATTGTGATGTAGCTTACAGCTAAACTGTGATATCTGCGCCTTCTGGTCCATTACATACCGTTTCCGCAAATCCTTAATTTGTCTCTTTTTATAAAATGCTGGTTAGAGAGCACGGGATCTGCCACCCCTCCCTCCTCCCACTCCCTTCTCCCCACCCTCCTCAACACCCCCTCCCCCACCCGCCTAAACCTAACACAAAGAAGAAATAAAAATATTTTGTTTTTACTTTCTATTTGCATATGTAGTCGGATGTCTTCCGGGACTAATGTTTCCATAAGTTTCTTAGAGTATTCAGCCAAACTGTTAATTTGTTCTGCAGTTTTAATGATAACATTTTTTTAATTCCTTTTGTTTTTTTACATTTCCTTGCTCTTTTACTTGTGATGAAACGAATTCTTGGATTTTGTTGTTGTTGTTGTTGTTACATTCTGTGTATGTGTGTCTGCAGCTGCTTCAGCATCTATTGTTAGGTCATCCAAATATAGTCTGTATCCATCATTATCGGCCGCAGAACTTCTTTACTAGCGTCTTTGTGATTTCTGGGCCATAGCATTTCTGGTAATATATATACACGACTATGTAAGAATGGTAAGCAACTAATTTCATATCTATTTATTATTTTGGTCACATTTTGTTTACATCCAAATAAAGATGTTTCGATGTCCTTAAAGACTTTACCATGTGTTCTTTCCTTTAACGAATTTATTGGTTTTTTTTTTTAACAATTATTTTCGCATCTTCTTATTTCTTACAAACTTCTACAATTTTCAACCTCTGATTCTCTTGTTCTACTCTCTCTTCTAATGTACACTTGAAGTTTTTTTTTTTTTTTTACTAGCTATTAGTCTTTTTTTTTCATTATGATTTTTTTTCTTCAAATTATCAACCCCTTTTAATGCTTTCGCGATTTTCTAGTGGCTTTACTTTCCACCTCACCAATTTAATCGTGTAATCTTTGTTAGCGAAAATTAAATTGGTCACGAAAAAATATATAATTTATATAACATTTAAAAAAAAAAAAAAAAAGCTTTGACTTAAATAAATTTTCTCAGTAACGTTAAATGCATTAGCATGAACATGAAGTAGAACATACCAAATTAGTTTTCTCAAAATCAGTATTATTTAAAACCGATCGCTTATCAAATTATGACAAATTCGTTTAAATGACAGCCAGCCACTGTGTGGCATTCGTCATAGTATGACAGTATCTTTTTATATTCCAAGATGCCAGTTTCTCACATTTCTTAACTTGTGACAATATCTACTTTTCAACATGTATGTGTTTCACATTCTTCAACTAGTGACAGTATCTATTTACATTCCAACAAGACAGTGTCTCGCCCTTTTCGATTTGTGACAGTATCTGTCTACTGCCCAGCATACCACTGGCTCATGTTTTTTAATGTGTGACAGTATCTGTCTACTGCCCAGCATACCACTGGCTCATGTTTTTTTAATGTGTGACAGTATCTGTCTACTGCCCAGCATACCACTGGCTCATGTTTTTTAATGTGTGACAGTATCTGTCTACTGCCCAGCATACCACTGGCTCATGTTTTTTAATGTGTGACAGTATCTGTCTACTGCCCAGCATACCACTGGCTCATGTTTTTTAATGTGTGACAGTATCTGTCTACTGCCCAGCATACCACTGGCTCATGTTTTTTAATGTATCTGTCTACTGCCCAGCATACCACTGGCTCATGTTTTTAATTGTGACAGTATCTGTCTACTGCCCCAGCATACCACTGCTCATGTTTTTTAATGTGTGACAGTATCTGTCTACTGTCCAGCATACCACTGGCTCATGTTTTTTAATGTGTGACAGTATATGTCTACTGTCCAGCATACCACTGGCTCATGTTTTTTAATGTGTGACAGTATCTGTCTACTGCCCAGCATACCACTGGCTCATGTTTTTTAATGTGTGACAGTATCGAGTTGCATCCCAACATGACAGTGTATCGCACTATTCAGCTTGTGATGATCTATTTACTGACCTGCTTACTGTTATCTCGTGTTGTTCAGTTTGTGACAATATCGAGTCACATTCCAGCATGATAGTGTCTCGATTAATTCAGCTTGTGACAATAGCTCTCTGCCGACCATATCGCTGTCTCGTGTTCTTCAGTATGTGACAATATCGAGTTACATTCTACCATGACAGTGCATCGCATTATTCAGCTTGTGACAATATCTGTTTACTTCCCTGCATTTACAGCCCTGCACACCCTTGTCTGATGTTCTTCAGCGTGTACCAATATCTATTCACATTCCAGCATGTTTCTCTATCATGTTCCTCAGCGTGTGACAAATATTTCATTTTGTTTCTCTACATGTTCCTCAGCGTGATCTATTTACTCAGTATCTCTGTTCCTCAGCGTGTGACAATATCTATTTACATATCTATTTATGTTTTCTTTCAGTTCCTCAGCGTGTGACAATATCTATTCACATTCCAGCACGTTTCTCTATCATGTTCCTCAGCGTGTGACAATATTTATTTACATTTTAGTATGTTTCTCTATCATGTTCTTCAGCGTGTGTACAATATCTATTCACATTCCAGCACGTTTCTCTATCATGTTCCTCAGCGTGTGACAATATTTATTTACATTTTAGCATTTTTCTCTATCATGTTCCTCAGCATGTACCAATATCTATTTACATTCCAGTACGTTTCTCTATCATGTTCCTCAGCGTGTGACAATATCTATTTACATTCTAGTATGTTTCTCTATCATGTTCCTCAGCGTGTGACAATATCTTTTACATTCTAGTATGTTTCTCTATCTTGTTCCTCAGCGTGTGACAATATCTATTTACATTCTAGTATGTTTCTCTATCATATTCCTCAGCGTGTACCAATATATATTTACATTTTAGCATGTTTCTCTATCATGTTTCTCAGCGTGTGACAACATCTATTTACATTCCAGCATGCTTCTCTATCATGTTCCTCAGCGTGTACCAAGATCTGTTTACATTTTAGCATGTTTCTCTATCATTTTCCTTAGCGTGTGACAATATCTATTTACATTCCAGCATGTCACAGTCTCAGAACTACAACCATGTTCGTTGCGCCCTCAACCGTTCTATTCACCAACTGCCCAGGGGCGCCAGGTCTGGAGACACTGACTACTAATTCTGAATTAGAGGAGCTCTCCAAGAAACTGATGGCTAACTCCGAGGGTCTAAGACTACAGGTGAGTTCCCCCCCCCCCCCCGACCACCTCTTTGCAAGGTTTAGTAAAGTCTAATACTTTATCAGTTATAGTTGTCCGGCGCGCTAGCAAAGTTGGTTAAACCAGATGTGCGGCGATCGGGTGATACATTTTTGTGTGGATCGAGTTCACGCTCTGGGGTAGACAGAAATGCCACATATTTCCCAGATTTACGGTTTCTATCATGGAATCAAGACGTGGGATTGTGTTATTCATAGTACCGAGGTAAAAGGTTAACAACTCATGGTTTCTTGATTAAAAAAAAATAATAAGTTATAGTTGTACAAGTATATACTGGAAACAAAATTCCAAGTAATATTCCCCAAAACACCAATATGTGCACTACAGCTACACCCGGCAAAAAAAAAAAAAAAAAAAAAAAAAAAAAACTTGAAGTGAGATCAAATGTATTTACTTATTCATTCAATTCACAATTTTCCAACGACTCCTTTGCTTAAAATAGCTAACTATTCTGCAATATTTTACATCAGTGTATAATATATTCATGGTGTCTTTGGTTTTAATTCTCATAAACTCTTTTCCCACTTTCAGCCTCTTCCCCTCCTTTGCACCTTTTTCCAAATTCCGGAATTGGGCAGTTTTAGCGAGATTGTTGTCTTGAAAACTGAATTAATATTTCAGTTATCTCTGCATTTAATTTTTTCATAAATTTCCATTTTCAGCTTGTCTATACAAACACCTTCGCATTTAGGCTACTCTCTCTCTCTCTCTCTCTCTCTCTCTCTCTCTCTCTCTCTCTCTCTCTCTCTCGTCTCTCTCTCTTTCTCTGTCTCTCTGTCTGTATGTATGTCTGTGTGTGTGTGTGTGTGTGTGTGTGTGTGTGTGTATATATATATGTACTGTTTTTAATTGTCCTTATAGGGAGTCAAACTGCTACATTAATTTCGTCACATACATTATTAATAGTGTCCTTTCAAAGCTGACCACTTCTGCTTTCCGTTATTGTTGATTTACACAACCTAAAACCTCGGGGGATTCTATGTCTGTTAACAGTGTGAGCTATTGCCCGCGGTGCCTTCATTTGTTACTGCTGTTTTATTTATTGAGTGTTAGACTTGTTCACTTATTTATTGAAACCATGCATTGCTCTCCACTTTTCAACAACGCGACAAAAGATCGATGCATATTTTTTTATTTACCCTGACGCTTCCGAACGTAGAAGTAGTCGATTGACACTGCCGATTGGGACTGAAACAGATTCATAATTTGGTAATTTTGTGTTTTTCACTTAACGACTCTAGAATAAATGATAATAACTAGGCAGGGAAAGAATTTAAACTTCGGCCATACACAAGTCGATAATATGAAAATCAAACGAGCGAAACATATAAGTACTTGGGTGCAAACTTCAACTGCTCTAACATGCTGAGAGAAGAAATACTATCTAGAATACAATCTGGAAATATAGTATGCTATGCGCTAAGTATACCATGCACTTCAATATCTGCTAAAGTCAAAGTGTCTCACATATTATACATTGATGAGATTATATAAAAGAACATAAAACACTGTTTAATACTTCTTCTGCTTCTTTATTTTCTGCCTTTTTAACCCCCAATGCAACATAGGAGCTTGACCAACTCACATCAAGTTGTTTTATCCTTCGCTATTGCATGCAGCTCGCCTCATGTCCTTTTCGTATTTTTAACTCCACTCTCTAGTTCCCTTCTCCATGTATTTTTTTGCTTTTCTTTATTCCTATTCCCATGTGGGTTCCAGTGCAGAAACATTCTAGTGATATTGTTTTCCGGTTTTTTTCAACGTGTGTCTTATCCAACGCCAGCGTCGTTTTTTCACCACTTTGTCCACTGGAACTTGCTTAGTTCTCTCCCAAAGCTCTACATTAGTTATTCTATGAATTAATCAAGTAACAGAAAGTATTGTGAACGGCACTCATAAAAAGAAGTAGAAAGATAGAAGAACACACTAGACAACATAAAAATCGAAAGCTATAGTTACCGTGCCGGGAATTGAACCTGTCACCTCCAGACGGCGTCTGCGCCTCGCCATGAATACAAGTGCACTAAGATACATGGTCAACTCGGCACCCCCTTTAAAAGGTGTCTCATTGGCCATGTCTATCGTACAGCTTGAAATCCACGACTATGGAATACGGACAGAATTCATTTCAACCCATTGAAATGGCACCATAGGTTACAGAAATTTATATTAACGAGGCAAATGTCAAATAACAATCACAGCAACAATTTACGTACACAGTAGACCTTATTGCCCTGTCTAGAATACACAAACATTTAAGAAAGGTATTTGATTGGTAGGTTCCGGTGTGTTATTCTATCATACCATTTAATTCCCTCTATTCTGAGCAGACATCAGCTAATGAATGTTTGTAGTTTATTAGTAACTGCCTTAGTTGTTCTCAATATTTCCTCTTCATACAACAGAATTGATTTGAAATTAGAATTAAAACTGTTAGTATTTATTTTAATTTTTTTTTACCTCCACGAATTTCATAGTGATTTAAAAGCTCCTCTTGCCCTTTGTATTCGTATATGAATACATCTATCAGTTCCCTTATCTGTATTTACATTACTGCTCAAATAGGTCTACGACTCCATGACTCCATATCTTAGAGTGAAGTACCATTTAGAGAAACCAAATTACTATTTGCCTGCTTTGCTCTCATTATCTTTGTCTAGCCCTCATGGATTGTTCAGACCTAGCTGTTGTGATCTCGTATCCAGTATATTTAATTTATCTTGCATCTGATTCCGTGAATTGGACAGAAGAAAAATATATCATCAGTGAAGTGGAGATCATCAAACTGTTTTACAGGGGTCCCCTAAATTCCATTCTTGGTGTTAGTAGTTGCTGTCTTCATTATTCAGTCTATTGACAGAAAAAAAAAAACGAAAAAAAAACACACACACAGGAGAGTCGGCGACAAAAGATATCTCTGTTGCACGCCTGTTTTAATTTCAAATTTATCCGCTTGCTTTCTCTCATGAAGAACTCTATATTTCATGTCTTTATATATTACCTTTACTAAGTTAATAATTTCCTGTGGGATTCGATGGTGCCCCATTAATTTCCGAAGAGTGCCTAATTTCAGAATACATAAATGCACAAGCAATTAGATGAAATAAATGGAAATTGAACCTCGCTTTACCTTGCTGAGAAGAATCAGGTGCCTATTAGGGTGGTGCTGAATAAAAAAGAGAAAGAGATGTTATTGACTGTAAGGAGAGTCCCTTCCTGTAAGCCTTTAGGAAAAAGCAATCCTTTTTTTTTTCTTTAATTTTCATTTCAGTAATTATTTCCTACTTGTACCCTGTTGAGGCTGACCGTGTTTGAAACCCCCCCCCCCCCCTTCCACCCCAACAACGCTTTTTAGAAAAAATATAGGGTCATAAGTCTTTTATTTTAACGTTACCACAAGATGTTTCGGAAAGATGACACGGAAATATGTCTCGTCATTCCAGACAATGCTATTACGGCTTGTTTGGGGCTTGATGAAGTTGTTCTTCTCTGCAAAATGTTTGGCATCTATCCATTTGGCAAAATTTCCCACGGTTAATAAGAGAGGTAAACAAGGGAGGCATACGGTGTCGTTGCTTTTTTTATTATTTTTGTACTTATACACTTTCTAGCACGCGAGTCGTATTCCGAACAGAGGTTGTATATCAAGCACAATGTTTCGTGTATTAAAAAAAAACATGGATACCAAATCGAACGTATTATAAAAGCGAACGTATACGGAGGTAACACTGTTTGTTTCAAGGTAATTTTTTAAACCTGCCCACTCCTCGCCTCCAAAAATGAAGGCTGGCTTCGATGCACCCCTTGCGATCCTTGAAAATATTCTATGATTATATTCCAGTCTCTTCCGTGGTGTGACTCTTGCACTTCTGACCGAGAGCCATAAGAACATAATTTCCAAGTAAACCGCCCCCTGTGAAAATTGCATCCCATTACTCGAATATCATGAAATTGTCTAACACCCTCCCTGCCACCGGAGCCTCAGGTTCAGACTAAGCCATAAATATTACTCTGTGTATCTGCCCACGACATCCCGTTACTCTTTAATAATACCTCATCTCTACGGCCCTCAGAGAAATGGGAAGGATAGAGGACTTTGGTGGCAGTGAATCCACATCACTTGCCAGAATGGCAGACTTGGGAATTAAGATCGGCACAGCAAAAAACGAGACGCACACCAGCTACGCCAGAAGACTTGTTAATCAACATAGAACTGGTACTATTAGCCATCGAACGTTGGGGTTAATACTGAGGGGAGGATCTGAGCACCTATGGACATGTCCGGAGTGCAATGAGGATAACCCAGCTAACTAACTAACTAACTAACCTCATCTCTACGGCTTTTTGCATAATTCCTTCCTTAACTAGTCGTTTTTATGTGTGTTACTGCAGATTCGGAAAATAGCGCGTGGCTTGTTTTGTCACAGATCTGATGGTGCCTATTGCGTGCAGTATTACGTTTATAACTGCTGATTTGTTGTAAGTAGCTTCTTCTTCTTCTTCTTCTTCTTCTTCTTCTTCTTCTTCTTCTTCTTCTTCTTCTTCTTCTTCTTCTTCTTCTTCTTCTTCTTCTTCTTCTTCTTCTTCTTCTTCTTCTTCTTCTTCTTCTTCTTCTTCTTCTTCTTCTTCTTCTTCTTCTTCTTCTTCTTCTTCTTCTCTTCTGTCTCTTCTTCTTCTTCTTCTTCTTCTTCTTCTTCTTCTTCTTCTTCTTTTTCTTCTTCTTCTTCTTCTTCTTCTTCTTCTTCTTCTTCTTCTTCTTCTTCTTCTTCTTCTTCTTCTTCTTCTTCTTCTTCTTCTTCTTCTTCTCTCTTCTTCTTCTTCTTCTTCTTCTTCTTTCTTCTTCTTCTTCTTTCTTCTTCTTCTTCTTCTTCTTCTTCTTCTTCTTCTTCTTCTTCTTCTTCTTCTTTCTTCTTCTTCTTCTTCTTCTTCTTCTTCTTCTTCTTCTTCTTCTTCTTTTTCTT